GCCACCACCTTCAGTGCTATGATAACCCTCATCATCAAGTTTTCCAACGGAAATAAGTTTCAGATGCATATCCGGAACATGTCTGACATTCTTCAAGACAAGAGTACAACCTGTATTCATTACAATGATACCTCTCCCATGCTGGCAACATCGCATGAGGCTTGATTGCCCATTCTTACACAACCAAAATCTCCAGGTGTGTAAGAGGTAAAGAAGCGTCTGTGAGGCGTCACATGATAAGACGCACCTGAATCACCGAACCAATCACTGTTGTGACTCGCAACATTAATGGTATCATCATCACAGTACACAAATACATCACTGGTAGTTACTACTGCAGTAGTATCATCATCACTTGATTCATCCTTCTTGCCTTTACCTTTTCTCGCTGCTAGTTCTCTCTTGAGAACCCTGCACTCCCTCTTAAAGTGCCAATTCCCTTGACAATGGTAGCACACAACATCTTTCTTGGATTTAGATCGTTCTCTGGACTTGTCATTCCGATCACGTGACCCTCTGCTGTTACTTCTCCCTCTTCTATCTGACTTTTCTGTCACCAGAGCCTGCGGCTCAGACTCAATACTCTGCTCTTTTCTTCTGGCTTCTTCATTCATCAAAGCCTCTTTGACCTAATCCAAGGTCAAGAAACCATCCTGGGTTGAATTACTGATTGACACTACCAAAGTGTCCCAACTGCCTAGAAGAGAACTAAACAATAACAAAGCCTGCACCCCATCATCCAACTTTAAACCTACATTCACTGCCTGGTTCAACAAACCCTTAAACGAACTCAAGTGCTCATTCATGCTAGCACCATCTTTGTACCTCAACCTGGTAATCTATTTCAGTGCAGATGACTTATTGATGCCGGACTTCTTCCAGTACATTATTCGGGATTTTCTCCCAAAGTTCATCAGCTTTTGTTTCTCTCGAAAAGTGATGAAACACACTTTGATCAATCCACTGTCAAATATTACCAACAGTCTTCCTGTGGATATCAGCCCACTTTTTATCAATCATATCACTTGGCCTACCTTCATCCCCTAGAACAGGATCAAACAAATCTTTGCAATACAACAAACCTTCCATTCTAGGATTCCACATATGATAATTGGATAAAGTCAATTTAATCATCGTACCAATACCCGATGAATCTTCCATTTTATTGGTGTAACACATCAACTACCGAACCGTAGCTCTGATACCACTGTTGTGGCGGAAAGGGTATAAACACAACAAATCAGCGGAAATGATTCCCAAGAAAAACTCCTTTCCTACTACCAATAAAATAAGACAACCAACCAAACAAGCAAATAATTCAAGAACTGATAAAGTAAAGTAGACACACGAATTTACGTGGAAAATCCAAATTGGAAAAAATCACGGGACTGTAACAACAGTCAAATCTCCACTATCACAATAATCGGAAACAGTCTTCACCAACTGGTGTATACACAGGACTTCACCCAAAGGTGGACTACAATAATACTCTTCAACACACCCCTATCACAAAGTAGGATTGGAAGGATCTCATCAAAAGAGAGCTAAACCGAAAACTAAACCGGAAGAATTGTAGATCTTGTTGAGAGGAAGACACATGCAAACTTACACCAACAATTGACTCTGTTTCGTCACCCGATCAAAGCCTTAAAGTGAAACACTTTCTTCTCGCAACCCTAGAACCCAAAACCCTAGTTTTCACACACTTTTTTTTTTCTCGCGCACAAAGCTTATGCACGGCTGAATTTTCTCACAAACAAAACAAGTGCGGCTGCTGCTTTTGCTTTGGCTGAACTCACGGCCAAAAAAGAACAAGGACTATAGGGTTATATAGCCCACGGCCAAACCCCAAAGACAAAACCAAATTGGACTTGGTTTTATTTTTTTACTATTTTCTTTAATTTCCTTTTCTTTGTTGCTGGCCCAATTTGAGGGGAACCCGAGCCCAACAATTTTGTGGTTTTTGGTTCACCAATCAGACAGCTCTGTTCCGGTGACAACATGATGAGAACCGGCAAGAGGTTGATTTGAACAACATCAATCCAACATCAAAATGCAAGAAATAACTTGAGCTGGTTGTAGATTTTATCTTGGGGAGCATTTTGGTATAAGTTTTGTTCGTTTTCATGAAGAAACGACGGAGATTTGGTCGGGAACGGCGACCGGATTCCGGTGGCCCCAGCGACTTCAAACGGGAAAGATGAAAGAATCTTCAAACATTTGCAAACTTAATCCCCATCTCAAGCTTATTTTCTCCAAGGATCTTAAGGTTTTAAAAGCTGCAAACCTTAGTTCAAATCTGCCAAATGTCATGCGAATCAGGACGATCAGTCCTACATCCAACTTTGAAGGACTTTCAGTTTGGGCCAACTATTTGCTCACTTATGCACTTCAGTCCAAACGAGCCATTTGCCTATAAATAGCCCATTGTGTACCAAATTAAAGGAGAATCTCCTCTCTTAGTTAATTTTTAGACAACTCTTAGCATATTTTCTCCTTTACTTCTTAGGCATAGGGGGTTAGTCATAACATTCTAGGGTTAGTCAAACTCTTGTAGTTCTACTTTAGGTATAAATAAAATGAAGGAGTTGATAGAAGATGTTAATGTGCTTAATCTAATTGGCTAATGTCACATAGGCATAGGGGGTTAGTCATAACATTCTAGGGACTAGGCATAGAAACTAGAGAGAAAAACAACATCATCCTTCAATGAAACACCTCTCATTGGTATTTTGTGTGAATTATTGCTTGAGCCCAATGATGAAATATGAAATGCATGCTTGTGTGCTATAGGTTTTTGTGTATTCTTTAATTACATGGAAAGTAAGACCACTTGGACTTTAGATTGTAGTAACTCTACGACACGAAAGTGTAAAGAGTGAATCAATTGGCCTAAACCACCACATGTAATCTAATGACTAGATGAGATCAAAAGAAGATTCTAGCATTGAGTTCTAACGACTAGGAGTAGAAGTTAGGGGTGTAAAAGACAATGGCTCCGTAGTCTCCAAAATCCTATTGGCATAGTTAGGTTAAATGAACACGACCTTCATCACATCTTAGGAACAGACTAGTAACCTTGTTGCCCTTCCTATTGTCCTAGCCCTACTTTCCTTAGTTATTTTCCTATTCCTTGTTATTTCATTTCTATCTTTCAACTCTCATTTTTGTGTGTTATCATTCTTGTGTTTGAAATCACCTCTTTTCTCAACCCCTCATAATTTAGCACTAATTTAGGAAATAGCATTCTCGTGGAATCGACCCTTACTTGCACGACACAATGACGGGCTTTCTCTTGGGTCTTGAATGCGTGCAAACAAGGTTTTTATTATTTTTTTGCGTGTGTAATTCTCATATATATCCAAATCGCACCACAACAATTACTAATTTTTCTGTAGGCACATTCCTTATGAAGTACTAAGGTGTCTCCCTTTCGCCTAAGAAATGGTCGCAAGTTGAGTTCCAAGAAATAGTTAATAAAATAGTGGCTAGGATTAAATGTTGGAGTACACGGCATTTATGATATGTGGGAAGACTGCTCTTGATTAATTCTGTTTTGATGTCGATGCATACCTATTGGGGTTCGCTGTTTATACTGCCACAAAGTGTGACTAGCATGGTGATTTGGATATGTCGAGAATTTTTGTAGGGAGTTAGGTCTGGTGGAAGAGCAACCTCTTTAGTTAGTTGGGAAGAGGTGTGTAAAAGTACGAAGGAAGGGTGGTAGGGTATTAAAGATGCTCAATTGTGGAACACAGCAGCTTCAGTGAAGCAGATTTGGCAAATAGCTCTGAAAAAGGATTCTCTGTGAGTGCGTTGGGTAGATGGTATCTATATTAAGAAGGAGTCTTGGTGGGACTTGCAGCTGAAATCTGATTCTAGCTGGCAATGGAGATAGCTCTTGAAGATTTGAGATCAGGTAAGAGATGGATTTGAAGGGGATAGATGGAAAGCACATAAATTTGGGAGATATACTGTTGCTTCTGGATATTGCTGGTTTGCTGGATTAGGGCAGAATTCTAGGTCAACAGAGGGTATCTGGGTTGGTCTGTCTATGCCTAAGCACCAGTTTATTGCATGGTTGGTGTGGAGGAAGAGGCTACTAACTAAGCAAAGACTAGAATTAGTGCATGTACCAGTTGATGATGTAATGTGTGTACTCTACAAGCAGGAACCTAAAACAGTTGAGCACCTGTTCTTCCATTGTTTGTTTGCAAAGGAGGGGTTGAATTCCATCAGAGTGTGGTTAGGTTGCAGAACCCTTTCACCTGATGAAAGTAGATGGAGATGACAATTGACTAAGTACTGGAAAGGAGCAAAGTTGAAAAGGGAAGTACTGTTTGCCACTATTAATGTCTGTCTGTATCACCTTTTGCAGGAACAGAACTTGAGAATTTTTGAAGGAAAAGTAAGGTTGTCTGTGGAAGTGGTAAAGTTTATCAAATAGGAATTGAAGATCAGAATCCAGAGCAGGAAAAGACGCAAGAAACAGGGCGTAGAAGAGAAGATCATGCATCAACTGTTTCCATAACTTCTGTTTTATTTGTATAGTCTAATGTTATGGTTGTTTTGTGTTTGGTAGAGGTAGCCTGAGAGTATTGGTTAGTTAAATGTAGTTCACCGAGAAAGTTGTACATAACGCTGCAATTTTTGTGTATGTGTAAATAAAATTTACCTTTTTCACAAAAAAAAAAAAGAGAAAATAATACATTTGATGCAAGTGTATGTTTCATGTAGTACTCAACAATGTTTGAGAATAAAGAAAGTCAAGATATCATTTGAACTCTATATATAGATGCATTTCATATATGTGTATTGCATGATACATATCATATATTGCTCGGACTATCAATATTGTAAATACTACCTTGTGTTTTGTAGTACTTGATGATAATTAATATTCATGTAATTTTACAAGTACGTTTCACTTAATATAATTTGTTTCACTAAACGGTAATAATAATGAACACAACAATGCTATTCAACATCAAATAAACAATGCCAGCCTAATACCAAAAGGTATTATGGAAGATATACCAATTTGGTCAAAATTGTTTTAAAGTAGGGTGCAGTTGTCTTACAAAGTATAAATAACTTTTGGCTATGTACTTGAGCAAAAACTTGAATTAACATTAAATTTTGTAGACACTCATAAATAAAACGGTTTTAACCTCTAAATCTGGTTGTATGACCGATGCTAGTTAACCCAAATCGGCAAACATATAATCCATTTATTTTGTTAAATGGTTGTTTTTCAAAAAACTCCAAACCTACAACTACACAAATTGTTTGATTGGCAAGCCATTAAAGTGGCTGGTAGAACACCCCCAGATAGCGCACTTGTTTTTTTTTTTTTGGGGGGGGGGAGTGGAGAGAGAGGAGTTTGGAGTGAATTAGGGTGTTCAAAAAAATTAATTTGGCGTAGGTAATTGAAGAGCACTACTTGGAACGATTACCAAGGAGTATCAAACCAAAAATAAGTTCAACAAATTGAAAAGAACCATAAGAGAAAAAAAAATTAATGAATTGAAAATGCTACAATTTGAAACTTTTTCCCAACCGTCATTCACCAAAAGAAATAAAAAATTTAAAAAAAAGAAAAGAAAGATTTATTATTATCATTAATGGTTATGATTTAAGCTCCAAACCAGAAATTATATTAAAGGAAATAGTATCCTATTTGAGGGATTACCAAACTTTGTTTCGTAGATATGCCAAATTTGAAGTCACAACTTATATAATCCACTCCTGATGAAAGGGGGTGCTAATGAGACTTTTCTTCTCTTTGTTTATGATGGAGATTTTTGGATGAGAAAAATGTAGAAATTAACAAAATTTTTATGGAGAAAAAATGAAATAGTAAAAGTAGAATTTAATATTGAAAATGTCGACTCACTGAAACAAAATTTCAGAGGAGGGGATGACCACCCTTGCTAGTCCCCTTCCCTCCGCCCTGTGGGAGACAATTTGGTAGTGGAGGACTTAAAATCAAGGATGATTTGCTTTAAATAAAAGAAAAAAAAAGAAAAGAATATATTTACAAACCTAAAATAAAAAATTAGAAGAATAAACATCCCAACTCGAAAATATTATGATAAAATCAAGAAGACAATGCAGCAAATCCACCCCCTCTCATCATTTGTTTAAATTCATTAAAATTGACCCTTCCGTCTCCATCCACATCCACCTTCATAATCATGTTTTTGCAATCCTCCATAGTCCTGCCCTGCTTTAGACCAAGTGATTGCAACACTGTCTTTAGCTCCTCTACGGTGATAAAACCGTCACCATTTTGATCAAACACATTGAAGGCTTCTCTCATGTCCTCGTCTTCATCCCGCTCATCCATGATTGTTTGGTACAACGCCCCAAACTCATCGATATCCACACATCCATCCCCATTCACATCAATTTTCTCGATCATTTGCTCTAACTCCTTTTCTGGGATAAATATTCCCATCTTCTCTAACGAGTCATTCAGCTCTTTCTTCGTGATTCGGCCATCTCCATTTCTGTCAAACATTTGGAACACGCGCCTCAATTCATCGGCATCCATTCTATGTCAAATCCTTGTGTTAGTCAATGGCTTATGGGAACACAGGACAAGAGCAGAACGACGGTGGTTCTGGTGGTGGTTATTGAATTTGGATTGTTTGGGAGAACTCTATAGGAGGTGTCGGATGGTAGTGATGGGGATGGAGGGTACCAAGAAGTGGGGAGATATGTCCTAAGCTTCTTGGAACCAAGTAAATGAGGAAAGAATTGAGGAGACTGTATAGACAAATCTCATCAAATTGGATGGCATTGCTTTATTTGTGTTACTTTGTCCCATTCTGGTCATCTCTTTCTCCTCTCTCCCTCTCTTCTCTCTCTGTTTCTTTTCTCTCTCTTTCCCCTTGTTTTACTATTTGAATAAAAAAATAGGAGTAAGAACTTGGAGGCATTTTTTTGGTACAGAAAAAAGGAAACGACAACCATTCATTATTTGGATAGACTACCCTCTTATTATCATGACATAACTAGGTCTTTATATCCGACATGATTATTTTAAACCTGTATTTTTAAGAAGATGTGAATCCTTGCAAAAAAAAGAAAAAAAAAATACCACAAAACAAATCTGAAATTGTTATTCAGAAACTACACGGATAAATTGCTTAAACAAGAATTAGTTCAAATTATATGCATCCTTAAGATTGTCTCAAGATTTTTGTACCCAAAAAAGAGGGACGAACAAAAATCCCTGACTTATGTCCCATTGACAATTGCCCCTTTACAAGTTCAATGGGCAAGTTCAATTTAAAAAAAAAGTCAACGGACATGTTGACCCTTTGATGTCAAAATGACAGATGATGAGGTCAGTCGAGAATCCTTTTATTTGGGCTTGTTATGAGAAAAACCAAAGTAGTTGTTTGTTTTCTTTGGGTAAAAGGTAAAATTACATTGCTCAAGCTCAAATTTACATGCCTACCAGCTAGGTATTACATGACTATCCTAAGCTTTTGAAAATAACTAACATCATTCCTACTTCTAGTTTTGCAACAAAACAATATTCTACAAATAATTTCAGTTTTTATTTCTCTAAACCTCTCATCTAGACTTTTACCAAAGCGGTTGTTAATACAAACTATCTCGAAAAGTTAAGTCTAATTAAGGTGATTTTGCACGCCTATATTCTAGAGATGTCATATATTCAGCTGAACTTATTTTGAAGAAGTCAACATACAATCTTCTAAGATTGTTGAACATATCTAAGGATTGGATTTGATCTTTGATCTTAGCCACATTTCTTTAATTCACTCCATGAGTTGAGATACAATCAGATACTTTATTTACTCTAGTTAGTTAATTATTTAGTTACCCCTATAAATAAAAAGTCAATTAATATGAAAAGGGACTAACTTTTGCATAGAAATACTTATCCCGGGTTTGCAGGTTTGAAGATCAAGAGGGTTTGGTAATGGTTCAAACATCCTAAAGGGTTGACCGAAACTTACTTCGTCAAGTTGCAGCAACTATTGGAAACTTGTCTTTTAAATTCTCTTTAAATCCCTTCTTATAGCAGTTGGTGGCATCGATGTTTACCATGTCCCAAACTTCTAGTGCACCACCTATTAATGGAAATAACCCTCTTCTTGATAAAGATGCTGAGAACAATCGTCATCTTAAGAAAGATTAACATCATGCAACAGTTTCGACCAGAATAGAAAGTTTGTTGCTAAAAGGTAAGGCATCTTTGGAGATTATTCAAACCAAAACAGTGACACTGATCACATCGCCAGCTTCTCAAGAGGAAAAGAACAAATTCTCGAATGCAGGAGCAAGAGACACCATTGCAGTTGGAAAAAGGTGACGTCATACAACAATGATGAAGATGAACTTCAATCTTCATCCCAAAAATTAGAAATTTTTCTTGCCCACTATACTTCAAAATGCTTTCTGGGTTACCTTTTTATGATGGAGATACATATCCTTGTGATCATGTTTATAATTTGTTGCACCTAGATGGAGTTGAAGAATGCCCCAAAAGATCTTATGTGTAAGGCTCTCCATTGGTATTTGCGAGGAAAAGCTCGGCTTTGGTGGTCCAAATCAGTGGCAGAAGAGCTTTTGAGGTCGCTCAAGCAATAGACGACCTTGTTTGAGACTAGGTGATAGCAATCTCATAGATGAAGCAAATTTTGTTAATGCAACCATCAAACAAGAAAGTACGAAGATAATTTGTCTATCCCGTGAAACTCAAAAGAGTGTGGAAAATTCACTGTAAGACGATCGTTTATCTAAGGATTTCTATCTCTTAACTCAAACCAAGCAAAGAACACATTATCCATAAAAGATAATGTAGGACAAAACACAACTCGTCCAACAAAAGTAGGACAAACCCCACAATGGAACTGATGAACACACCCATCATGAATTTGAACACCAAGCCAAAAGAAAGGCTCATCAATCGAACTACTAGAAGTAGTATGAAAATAAGAAGTTTTGTTTTAAAACAATTCTATCAAGAAGCATACTTGAAAAAGAACGGTTTCTGCAAGATCAAAAGATCCAAGACAAGATGAAAACCCTCTTGATTAAATCATACTTGACACAAAAAGTGGACACACCATTTAATAAAAATTCCTCACAGGAAAAACTCTCAAAAGAGACAACAAAAATGACCACTCAAGGGTGCTTTTGATTTTCGGCCATGCCCCCTATTTATAGGCCAAGATTTTCGGCCAGCACCAAGAAAAGAAGATCAACTAGGACTCTCTAATCTTATCTCACGCAGGAGTAGAAGTAGAAGAGTATTTGATCTCTTTGACTCTATCTAAAATCTCGGAAACCTTATCTAAATAACTTATCCTCAAATAGGATAATACTTAGAAGAAATCTAAGACTCCTAATCAAAACACTCTAGTTTAATTCAGTCCACATGACTTATTTAACTAGATAAAATTCGAAAATTAACTCCTAGACTTAGACAAACTCTAATTCTCAAAAATCAACTCCAAATTATTCAAGTAAAATGTCTTGAACGCCCCTCAAGTTGTAGAAAACTCTAATTTACTCCAAAACTTGTAGAATTCTCGTTATTGACTCCAAAAGATTGGAAAAACACTTGAAACAACTGAGATAGTTTGCAACCTATCCAATTGAGTAACAATGGACTCAATCTTGAACACTTTGATCAAATAGGCCGTCCATTCATGAACCTAAATGATTCTTCTCTCTAGCTTGATCAATGATCTTCATGGAGCACCTAGAGTCAAACTCCCTTGGTACTCTTGAACACTTATTTCCATGAGGTCATCATCTCCTTTGGTTTGAACCCCAAAGTTAATGACATTCTCATCATCTTGATCATAGCTCTCTTGAACCAACTCCCTATCACATAGGTAGTCAAGATCCATCCTTTCTTCCTTGATTGGCTTGCAAAGTAAACTTGGCATTCCAAAACTAGAATGAGGGACTAGTTCATTCCCCTCACTAGGAGAATCACCATGGAAGGCTACATGATTCTCATCATCCCCTCCTTCTTTAAGAGGATTCGTCCTCAAATCATCAACCTCTAAACCTGCACAAGGAACAAACGAGATACAAGGATTAGTAAAATCCTCACGCTCACCACACTCTGATTTTCTCTCATTGCGTGCATTTTTTTCTATTTCCACGCTATTTTCATGGTTTTCTCTTGCCTCAAGTCTTACCTCAGCGTGACCCTTTTTACTTTCTTGCGTCACTCTCTCGACTTTTTCTCTCCCTTGTGTATAGGTTATCTTACGTCTTTTCTCTCGCACAGATTCAGCTTCTTCATAAGCCAAAGGCTTAAGAATATATTTTCTGTCCTCTTTAGTAAAGACAAAGATATTCTTCGAGCAATGGTGCACAGCATCTACATCTGATTGGCAAGGCCTAACTAGCAAAATATCACAAAGAGACATAGGAATTACATCAAAGTAAATTTCATCCCTATACTCACCAACTTGAAAAGATACCATGGCCTTCTTAGTGACATCCACAACCATCTCTTCACTTAACCATTGAAGCTTATATGGTCTAGTAAGCGGATCCATCTTGATTCCGTTTGCTATGCAAAATTCCTCACTTATACAATCAGTCTATTCTAAGCTTTTGAAAATAACTAACATCATTCCTACTTCTGGTTTTGCAACAAAACAATATTCTACAAGTAATTTCAGTTTTTATTTCTCTAAACCTCTCATCTAGACTTTTACCAAAGCGGTTGTTAATACAAACTATCTCGAAAAGTTAAGTCTAATTAAGGTCATTTTGCACTCCTATATTCTAGAGGTGTCATATATTCAGCTGAACTTATTTTGAACAAGTCCACATACAATCTTCTAAGATAGTTGAACATATCTAAGGATTGGATTTGATCTTTGATCTTAGCCACATTTCTTTAATTCACTCCATGAGTTGAGATACAGTCAGATACTTTATGTAATCTTGTTAGTTAATTATTTAGTTACCCCTATAAATAAAAAGTCAATTAATATGAAAAGGGACTAACTTTTGCATAGAAATACTTACCCCGGGTTAGCAAGTTTGAAGATCAAGAGGGTTTGGTAATGGTTCAAACATCCTAGAGGGTTGACCGAAACTTACTTCGTCAAGTTGCAGCAACTATTGGAAACTTGCATTTTAGTTTCTCTTTAAATCCCTTCTTACAGCAGTTGGTGGCATCGATGGTTACCATGTCCCAAACTTCTAGGGCACCACCTATTAACGGAAATAACCCTCCTCTTGATAACATGCTGAGAACAATCGTCATCTTAAGAAAGATTAACATCACGCAACAGTTTCGACCAGAATAGAAAGTTTGTTGCTAAAGGTAAGGCACCTTTGGAAGATTATTCAAACCAAAACGGTGACACTGCTCACATCGCCAGCTTCCCAAGAGGAGAAGAACAAATTCTCGAATGCAGGAGCAAGAGACACCATTGCAGTTGAAAAAAGGTGACGATGACAACAATGATGAAGATGAACTTCAATCTTCATCCCAAAAATTAGAAATTTTTCTTGCCCACTGTACTTCAAAATGCTTTGTGGGTTACCTTTTTATGATGGAGATACATATCCTTGTGATCATGTTTATAATTTTTTGCACCTAGATGGAGTTAAAGAATGCCCCAAAAGATCTTATGTTTAAGGCTCTCCATAGGTATTTGCGAGGAAAAGCTCGGCTTTGGTGGTCCAAATCAATGGTAGAAGAGCATTTGAGGTCGCTCAAGCAATAGACGACCTTGTTTGAGACTAGGTTTCAACAAAGAAAGAAATTTATGAAGACCACTCAAGAGCTATTAAACACGAAGCAAGGAAGAGCTGAAACGCAAAGAAATTCTCCAAGTAGAAACGCAAATAAAGAGATTATCA